AACAAGGCAAGAAGGAAAATTCTGCCCAGGCAAAAGAAATAAATTGAATTATTTCCAAATGAACTTAAGAAGCATTTAGGAAATAAATCCTAAATTGCTCACATGGTGGCCGGCAGCATACATTGATCTGGGAGGTTTTAATGGGAGCAATAAAAGCTTCTCAATTTGGGTTATGTCATAAGGAAAGATTTATTTTCAATCCAATTGAATTGTTAATTCAAATTAAATTAAGAATAGAACCTTTCCTAAAATAGTTTTGCTAATTTATGAAAGATTTCAAAATTCAAAATGTTTTGAATTTGAAATGAGGGATTTGTGGAGGGAAAGTTTTGAGTTAATGAGCTAGGGAAGTTTCCTAATAAGAGGGTATTAATTAAGACCAATTTGAATTCAAATTCAAATTGAAATCTAAAAATTACAAAAATGCCCCTTGGGCCAAAACACTCACATAAGCTATCCTAGGGGTAAAATAGGAAATACATAAAACAAGAGCTAAAATTCAGAAAATAATACATAAATGAAAATTTAAATAATGGCCGTCGATTTACGACGCCGCCTGTGATAGATGCGCCAAATCTTCGTTTTGATGTCCGCATCAAAAGGGTTTCATAATCTCATCCACATAAGTAACTGACGTCCTCGTTAACATATTAATCTCAGAATCATCCATCAGACAGATAGGATTCTAGTTCAAGTGGTGACTCCCACCACATAGCACTTTGTCCCATACTGGGTTCAAGAGGTAGCTCCCATGGCGAAGCACATTGTCTTGTATGACACTTAGTTCTTATCTTCCAGCTGGTGTATTGCTCTGATATCATTTGTAACAAACCAAACTCTTAACTATTGAGATATTGTCTGCTTTGGCCTAAGGGCCTTCCAGTTTTTTCATGTTGATATAACATTCCAGGAGGTAACCCTTCTCAGGATTTCTTCGATATGAGCACATATAACTACAGAGTTTCGTAATGAAATTCTAACCATTACACCAAAAGACGCCATGATGTTTAAGAGTTTTACTTTTTTCCTTAAGGGGTTTCACAATGGTGGTTGGAGGGATTGTAGCCGACCGGCAATGGTGGTCAAAGGGACCATAATCAGTGGGTGACGGTGGTCGGTTGATAGACACGACGGTGGTGGCCAGACAGAGGTCCGACGACGACGATCGAGCGGTGGTTGGGCAACGATGATGTTGAGTTGAAGCTCCGCAATTCTTCAAGCTGTATAGATCTCTTGATCTATAGCCTAAGATCCAAGCCCCCAAAAATTCCCCTTCATGTAATGAGTGTGGTCTATTTATCGATTTTTAGAGTGGCCTGCCCCATAGATATGGAGAAGATCTTAGGTAAATTTGGAGTGGTCTATCGGACGGCCTATTCTAATTTCTTCGATCATGGAGCATTTGTTCATTGTTTAAGTGCCTTAATAATGATCTTGAGCTTATTGGATTCATCTCGTCGAGTTGCTCAATTCGACAACAAGCATGCTATATTTTGATATCATTTGGTCATCTAATTAATGCTCTAAAGCATCTCAATATGCTTTAAGCTCTAGATTTGAACCCATTTGAGCTCAGATTGGACCGATTTTAGAGTCGTTGAGTTCAACTTACTGAGACATTCAATTTGACTGCAAGTTTGCGGAAATTGATGTTCAGATGATGTCGAATTTAATTTTGAAAATTATCAACTCAAATATGCATCGAGATTCGTGCTCGATAAAGACAAATTTTTATGATGTATCAATTATATATGTAAATACATAAAAAAAATTATATACATATATATATTCTTAATTTTTTATTTTTATAATCTATGTCTAATTTTTAAAAGATTTAAATTATAAATAGTAAATGATATATTTATGAGATCAGAATATTAAACTAGAAGATTAATGAAATACTAATTGAACCATGGCCCTATAGAAAATAATTTTAGCTTATATTAATTTTCAACAACATGGTTCATTGGTTCTTACTTCATAGGTATGCTTGAGTCATATGAAATTTACAACCATCCGATGGGTTTCACTTGCAATATGAAAGGGAAAACTAAGAAGGAAGATTTGAGTTCAATTGAACTTGAGCTTAGCAGGCCTCATTGATTTGAGCGAGTTTAGTTTGAGTGTGTGTGTGTGTGTGTATAACATGGTTTAAAATTGTGCAATATGAGGCTCGCCTAGAGGCACGCTGATGTGAAACGTAAATGTCATGTACTTGCCTAGGTGGCAAGATTAATTAAATCCCAAATCAATTTGGGGAGAGAAAATGAAAATTTGAAATTAAATTTCAGATTAAGTGGAATTGGCGGGATGAATTTGAATTTAAATTCAAATTTAATGGGGAGAATTAAATTGAATGAGAGAAAAATAATGGGAGGTAATTATGGAGGCTTAATGAGGGGGGCTATTAATGAGATAGGAGAGAGATTATGCCCAATGAGAGGGCCGGCCACATAGAGAGAGGGAGGAGATTATTTGTCATAAGTAGAGTGGGGCCCACATTACTAATCAAAGATTTAATAAAATCTGAATTAAAATTCAGATTTTGAAAGAAAGGAAAATTTCCAATAATGGGGCTATCAATTAGAATTAATTTGAATTTCAAATTCAAATTGACATCCAATTAATATGAAAGCCTTAAATCAAGGAACTATTTTAGGAAAGTCTTCAATGCCTCTTGGAAACAAATTTGAATTTTTGAAATTTCCAAGAGGGAGGCCGGTGGCTTGGCCGTCCCAAGGAGGTCAGCGGAGCCGCCGGTGGCGGGATTGGCCTGCGATGGCCGGCGATGGACTTATGGGGGCCGGTGGAGGGGATTTGGGAGGAAGAGAGTTTGGTTAGGTAGGGAAGAAATAAATTGGGTTTAGGAAAAAGAAAATCCGGAGCTACACACCTCGAGCAACACCTTCAATAGAACTCACAAAGAGATCTACAAGCGCCACTTCCTCAAGAACTCACAAAGAGATCTTGGGAATCTCGGAACTCACAAAGAGATCCTTCTACTTCCTCAAGAACTCACAAAGAGATCTTGGGAGAAGGGGAGAGAGAAGTTCATCATAATGATGATTCAAATGAAGAACCTCTTAGTGATGACAGTGCTGATGACTTATGAGTTCTTATGTGATATGTCATTGCTATTTATTTTTGGAAATTAGAATTATATGTTAATGAAAAGAATACTGGGATTTGGGAAAGATAGAATTTTGAGTTGAACTATATTTCATGTTGTCTTCTTATTGAGATATTTTGATTTCACTTCATATATTATTTTTTTTATATTATTCACTCATTAGTATATAAAAAATTTATCATTTTATGTTTACACAATCTTTTGATTTTTGAGGCTTACGTCTCAAAACGCCTTGAGGCTTACGCCTCGCCTCACGAATGAAAAACATCTCAATGCCCGAATACGCAATTTTAAGCATATATATATATGCCACAAAACTTTAATGTATTTATATAACAAAAACATAATGTTTTTATATATATCTATATGATACCAAATATTTAAATCACATAAAAATATTATGAATATTAGTTTATCTTAAATAAACATGAATTTTCATGCATATACTTTAATGTTATTTGTACATTAATTTTTTGTAGAATTATATGTGAAATTTTATATATCAGATATGTAAATATATAAAATTTTGTGGTATGCATATAAATCCCTTAGACAATGAGAACAATGTAGCATCTAGGAGTGTAAACGAGTCGAATTGAGCTCGAATCATGCTTAACTCAAGTTCGACTCGCCGGCCAAATCGCGAGCTCAAACTCAACCTTGAGCTCGACTCAAGCTCAAATGGCGTGCTCGAGCTCAGCTTATGGTAATGGATGTGGGCTCGCGAGCTAGCTTGTGAGGCGTAAGAAGAACGGCCTGATGTTCACTTTCGAATCCAATTATGGGTTCAACTTTCCGCAAATCCGCCTTTCGCTTCTACTTTTGTATCCGCGGTTCCGTCTTCCATGTTCCGCACTTGAGCAGCTCGACGAGTCAACGAGTCAAACAGCAACTCAATCGGACTCGAGATCGATTACCCAACAAACTCATAAATCTACTTGAACACGAGCTCAAAACTCAATAAGCTTGACTCATGAGCTTATTATCAAGTCAAGCTTGAGCAGGATCACTTGACTTAACTCATTTACACCCCAATTAGCATCAAACGACTAGCCACAAATGATTGGATAAGGCTATTGATAATGGTCACCATCTAACATAACATCTACAAGCTTTCAGCAGAATAAGTTGATAAATTAATAAACACCACCGCAAAAACATGGTCTTAGATCAAGAATAAAGAGAAAAACACATGATCTGAAAGTTGTCTATCACCAGAGTTGTCAAAAAATCCTCATCATTCATAAAAAGCTCATATTTGGCTCATTACATAGCTCCCGATCAATTCATTCATATAATAAACAAGTCTAAAACGAATAAATTATTTAAGATTGATTTGTAAACAATACAAGCATTTGCAGACCTTTGTTTGACCGTGTTCAACTTATTTTATGCTCAAAATTAATAAGTAAATAAATATATAATATATAATATATTTTGCTTGTTGAACAGGCCAAGACAAAGCAGATTCTATTTAGTCCCCAACATTTAGAATTTCACAGTTATACCCTCTATAAATAATGAAAATATGAGTCATAGCTTGGTCAGAAACTCAGCCGTGGACCAGTAGGACCTTGGGGCACTGAGATATGAAGAGGTTTTTTATTATCTTAAAATTACTTGGTACTTTTTTAATTAATAATGTTATATTTGTAATCAAATCGAGCTGAACAAGCTTAATTAAATTAAAATAAATCGAACATGAGCAAGTTAGTAGCGAGCAATTTCAAACATGAGCCAAATTCGAACAAATATACACCCCTTTCTATCACTAGTTTTCAAACAAGCAAACTGTTAATTAAAAATACATATAACTAGCTAAATTGAAACAAAGTAGGTACCTGTGATGAATGGTAAGAAAAGAAATTACCTCAACTTTATGAATCTTCTTCTGCAAAGCATCTCTCAGCTGATTGGTTTCCTAAAATGGTCACCAAAAAATTTCTATAAATTTAATGGAAATAAATAGTTAATGATCGAAATATCGAGTTATAAGAAATAGGCACTGACAATCCCTGTTTCCGTCTATCCTTCTCCTCTATTTCAAACAAAATACTTTGATGTGAAAAACTTCAATGATGGGTAATGAATAATATACAAAAAAAATATATCTGAAATTGCATCCTATAATAGAGTTTACACTTGTTCTACAATATAACAATGTCATAGGGCCATTGCTACAATGGCGCAGAAATACATCAAGGGTATTAATGCTGTCATAATGATGGAAACATATAGTGACAATAAGGGGAAAAAAAAAACATACGAGAATTACCTCATCTGGCCAGCCATCAACAACAAAGACATCTAATGAGTAACCATCATTTGTTGAAAAAGCATGGGCTTCTTGGATATTAAGCCCAGCCTCAGAAAGCAGAGTTGTCAACTGAAACAAAATAATAATAATAATAATAATAATAATAATAATAATAATAATAATAATAATAAATTATCACAGAGTAACTCAACACTATCCTGTCCATCAGATTACAAACGCATCATTAAAAAGAGCTTGCTTGCCACACAATGAAACTCGAAAAATACAACTACAACGAAAGTGAATGTTCTAATAGTATCACCAGACCCTTCTGAACTACCACGTGTTATAAAAACTTCATTTTGCATAATGGAAGGGGCTTAAACAAAAATGAAATATGAGAGCTTCCAAAATGGACACTGCAGTTTATTTACTTGCATTGGCTAGTATAAGCTGAACTGAAACATTGCCTTTATTTTCTATTTTAGGAAGGTAGAGATGCAAGGGTGGGGTTTATAAGGAAGAGGAAGAGGAAGAGGAAGAGATGGTTAGAGAAAACAAGCAATTTTGCACGACCAGTTCGTGATGTTGGCATGCTCTAGCACCCGCCTAGTGTAAGGTTAGTGTTTTTTGGGGGAGAAAAAGCATCAAAGAGAAGATGTAACAATAAGCGTCAGCTGTAAACAAGTCAAGTTAAGATCCAGTCAACTGTGATCTCAATTAATCCTAACATGACCTGTTACCATATCTAAAGTCACTTATGCCAACTATTTATAGTAGAAATTTTTAACATTTAGTATTGTATATATTTTACTTTATATATACTTAAAGTAAAAAAGATAATTCAATAAAAAGTATAATCTTTTTAATTCTCTCCCTTTTTAGCATAGTATTATAGCCATGGCATAGCCCTCGTGCCGCAGTGGCGGAGCCAGGAATTTTTATCTGTGGGGGCACAAAATTTTGACTTTAAAAATACTCTCAAACATTCCCCCCCCCCCCCCCCCCCCCCCCCCCCCCCCCCCCCCCCCCCCCCCCCCCCCCCCCCCCCCCCCCCCCCCCCCCCCCCCCCCCCCCCCCCCCCCCCCCCCCCCCCCCCCCCCCCCCCCCCCCCCCCCCCCCCCCCCCCCCCCCCCCCCCCCCCCCCCCCCCCCCCCCCCCCCCCCCCCCCCCCCCCCCCCCCCCCCCCCCCCCCCCCCCCCCCCCCCCCCCCCCCCCCTAAATCCGCCTATGCCTCGTGGCCTTCCTTAAGCATCTTCTAGCTAATGCTGCACTCTTCGAACTTCCGATCTCCCTCACACTTCCCTCATAACTTGACCTGTCTGTGCTTTACTAGCCTCTCCCGACGAGACATCCATGTTTTCAACTCGAATACGATCCTCTTTAATGACCATGTATTTTCTTTTATGGCCAACCTACACATAATGATGTTATTGACAAGTGATTCACATGGCCTCCTATATTTTTTGCAATTTTTGTTCACTGCAACTATCTTCGATAGCAATTGCGCGACTGACTTTATCCATACTACATGTACATCTCTATTAACACTATTTATCAATGTTTTCTATCAATACTCTTCATCAAAGCAACCCATCAATACTATGCATCGATGTTATCCATTGATACCTTCATCAACAATCTATCGATAGCTCTATTTAAGAATCTTATTTATGCCTTCGATTATATGTATCTCATTGTAAATTTTTTAGGTTTGATCCACACTGCTTTCTTTCACACAAATTAATCACGCTCATCATGCAACACTCTTAACCTTTAAGTAACAAAATATTCAACTACTCATCTCTAGCCCAATTTATTTCAAATTCAAAATTATATATTCTACACCACCTTTAGTTTGTGAGTATTACCATATCTAATTTATCACATGGAATAATTATTTATAACAAAAATATGCATTATTTAGTATTGAAGATATTATACTTTATTGTATTTTCTTTTATTGTTATTTCATCTTGTCTATATATAGGCACTTATATGATCATACTAGAGAGACAATTCAATAGTCCTTTATAATTCTCTCTATTGTAATAAGATCAAATAGGACTAACCCCTATTTGTTAGTGACGGGGTGTGATCGTTGAGGTGCTCAAATAATGGTGGAGCGAATAAAAAAAGAGGTATAAAGAAATAAAGGTTATATAAGGAATTTGTATGGAAAGGAACTTTTATGATCAATAACTTGAGGTTTCAAATTAAGTGAGGTAACAAATCATTAAATTTAAAGACTTACTAACATATTTAAAACATACTTCAGGGTTGTTTGATCAAATGCTTTTAAAATACATGCATTTAGAATACAAAGTAACTAGAATGCATTTTAGAAATGCAAGTGTTATCGGGTTAGCTGCAAATCAAATGTATTTAAACAAATTTTTATCTTATTTTGAAATTTTCAAATGAAATTGAAATACGGACAAAGTTGGGCATGGGCAAGTTAAGTAGGCAATGGCGATGGCGATGACAATGGCAATGATGACAAAGAGCGACTACAACGTACAATGGTGACGAGTCGGTTAGGGTGGGTGGTGGTTGGTAGCCCTAAGCGGATCTAAAGAAGATGAAATTTCGACAATTTAACTTAGGTAAAAGGAAACCCAATCCCATCAAGGTTTAAAGAGATAAAATGCCACCAAACAAGGCATTAGCTTTATAATGTAAATGTTATGTGCATCAAATACTTAAAATAAAGTTTTTGGAGTAATTCAAAAAACTCAAAAATGTAATTGCATTTCTTCTTTAGCTACATATTAAACACCCAAAAAAAAGAGAAAATGCAATGCAATACACTGCAAATATTGCAAACAAAACTATTCCTAAATATGATTTTATTTTATGTAGTTGTAAGGTAATCAGTACTAGAACTCTAAAATGAACTCATGAATCCCACAAGAAGATGAAATTTTGAAAATTTTACTTGGGAAAAAGGAACCCAACACTACCAAGGTAAAAAGAGGTAAAATGCCACCAAACACGACAAGCTTTATAGAGTAAATGTTACGTGTATCAAATATTTACAAAGTGCCTCATTAGCCAATTAACTGAGATAGAATCTACCTGACTTAGAAGCTTTGGCTTGTCCTCCGTTGAAAATGTAACTTCATGCATGGGTCTGGATAATTACAAGAAACCCAGAACTTTAGTAGATTAAGTGATATGCAAGTGCAATACAGGAAACAATGATAAAAATAGAGTTCTTATATACTTCAACATTTTTGTTCGAAATTGGAACTCTAAAAGTCTTGTGCTCATTAGCATGTATTTTGACCCTAAACAGCGCTGACCTATAAAAGGCATTCCTATATTTTTTTCATATTGGGGTATTTAAAGTATTGATGTTATTCAAATTACTGATTATGCATAATGAAAGATCATAATACTCCAACTAAATAATTAGACTAAGGTGTATTTATTTTGCTTATTGCGGGAAGCATTGTAGTAATGATTTCTAGTGCCCAAGGATAAAGTAATCTGGACAAAATCTATGGTAGATACATCCACGTAAAAATATTGGATAAATTGCTCAGTAAATTCTAAGCAGATGCTTAAAATAGAACCACAAAAACTAATTGAGTCCTGCTAGAGAATCAAGTTCCAACTTTCAAGACCTATGGTGGAGGAAGCCCATCACACCCCTCCCACTTATCCACGACATCAATCCACCATAAATGATCTCTAAGCTGAACCCTATGTTGCTCTCACACAAACTAAGCAGTGTTAATGAAATTTGTCATCTGATTTTAGATGATCTATAAAGATAGGATTTTATTTATGCATTTGAATTATAAATTTATTAGGAATCAGTAATTTTTCCTATTTATTGTTTATTTTCAAGAAAAATATCCTATAAATAGAAGCAAGGGAAGTTTGAGTTTTACTTATAAAGCTATCTCTATAGATGCACCCTCGTTGTAAAATCATGATATGATGAGTTCAATGGAAACTTCTTGCATCACTTATTTTGACAGTGTAGTTTTCTTGCCCCAATAATTCTTTGTTAAGGTATCTTTTTCTTGATTTTCTTCCAATTTCCTATTGATTTTTACTATTCCTTTACATGCCACTTTGATATAAGAGCATATTCATTATTATTTTCGGATTTGGTTTCATCAATTTCTAGCAATTTTGCATTTATTTACATAAATTGCCTATATTTTCTTTCTCCTCCATCAATTTGTTTCTCAAGCCATTTACTTCCTCAAAATTTAACATCATAACTTCTTTCTCCTATTGTGAAGAGAAAATAAATCAAACTACAACCCTCTCTCCACACATGAAAAAGAATACAAATTCTTTTTTTCATGAAATATATCTCCAATGCTCCCCCGCCCTCTTCCGCTCATACCTCATTTTTCTCTTCTCCACATCAACACCTAAATTCCCTGAACTACTTCATAAAATTTTCAACAACCATCCAACTATGAATTAAAATTTAAAATTAATATTTGGATTCAAAATTCTCAACAACTCAACCCTTCAATTTTGATTTTAATCTAATCACATATTTAATTCAAAACCTCAATTATTGTCTAAAATCCCTCTATCATATTAACCATCAAAACCAATACTAATATGGCCAATCAATAAACTAGAATTTGGAATATTGCAAGGACCTTTTATTTATTTTTCTCTATCCAAAAATAGTGACTTCTCCTTGCCTCTCATCTATTTATAAATAATAATAATAATAATAGAAAAAAGATTGGAAAGCATAAGAAATGATAGAAAGGAAGACAAGCAAGGGCTCCTTTCTAAAACATTCTTAAAATTTCTTTGAGAATATGCTAATCTTCTTAAAGACATTGTATCGAATGATGTTTAACCGTATGTTCAAGAATGTCTTCAATGCTTCATTATAAAATTACTATAAAGTTATACAAATAACAAGATATTGTTACAATTAAGAAATTGAATGCTCCCTTTGATGAAAGGTATTGTTGCTATTCAACCTTCAGCCTTCTAAAAAATTCAACCACTCTTACACTTCAAGGAGAGTTCTTTCAATTTTGAGAGAATTAATGCAAATTTTGATATGAATGAATATGATGGATAGATGTGATTTTATTTATGTATTTAAAATTTTAATTTACTATGAACTAACAATTTTAATATTCATATCATATTTTTATGAAGATTATATTATAATTAGTCTTAGGACTAGGTTTGATGCAACCAAAAAATTTGGATTGCCAAGACACAAATCTTCCTTTCATAAAAAATCTAGACATAAACAAAAATAGAACAAAATGATACTATTATATCCCATAGAAGTTTAAACAAACACAACTACACTTTAAAATAAAAGACACAACACCTTACAACATTTTGTAATTTTTAGAAGAAAGATACAATGGAAGGGATACCATGGAGAGAAGAATGAGATAGGGAATCCGAGGCGAAATAGTAGAAGGGAAAGGGAAACGAAGCTAGCTCGCAAGCTAGAATAAAACCCGCAGGTTTTCTTTCTCCAAAAATCAGCATATTTCCTCCTCTAAAACTACCACAAACAACCCTTATAAATAGAGAAAAAGAAGCCCAAAAGACACCAAAGCAGTTGCCCGAATGTGGGCTCCGAAAATTCGGCCCCGGCCTCCCCGCCGCGCTTTGATTTGCTTTTATCTTTCGGCGAGGGGAGTTTTAACGGAATTAAGTTCCGGGGTAAATTTTGTAAGACATATGGGTTTGTAGATAAGACACTACCCAGAGATTTCGCCCTCATTTTGCGAGGACTTTATGATCTGAGTTATGGTTTCCTATAGGAGCAAGCCCCTATAATTAAGTACCCCTCCCGATAACGAGAGAGAACTTTCGATTAAGGCTAGTCGTCAATCAGATACGAAGAGAATATGTGTTATATGGCATATAGTAGCAGCATGGGTTTGAGATGTTGGAAAGTTGGGATTGGATTTGGGTATTTGGAAAGGTTTGGAAAGTTTGGATGTTGAAGGATTGAGATATTTGAGAAATTTGATATTTAAAAATGTAATTTTCACCATCTTGCACTTAAAGTGGATGGTGGGGGAATGGATGATGGACCCGATCAGTTAGAGGACACGTACAACATCCTTACTGGCAGGATATTGTTTGAGAATAGATCATAGTGATATTTTCGACTAAGCATTTGGCTCTTTGTGAGCTGAAGTAAATTTTAATTTGTCCACCTCGGCAAACCGTTGCGGAGGGTGGATGTATTTTTGCTTTAAGTGATTTGATGGTTGATTTTTCATTTTAAATATTTTGGAATTTTTGTGGAGTTTTGGATTTTGATAGGCACTTGGATATTTGGGAGACAATTAAAAAATGTTTGTGAACCCCTCCAGTTGAGATAAACATTCAACACAGCCATCATCGGGGTGTTTGGGGGAATTTTATAGTTGTTAGATCGAACCTTGTCGACTCTGTCCACTAGTTGACAGAGGATCAGGTTTCATGGGTTTTATGCCTTTATTAGTGAATTCTCTTGATTATAAGCCTTAAAGACCTAATATGAATGTATTAAGACAAATATAACGGTCACCACAACCGTATATTTGTTTAATGGTTCGAACCCTGTCAACTCCTATTGATCCGTATAGAAGGATCGGGTTCGAACTTGAATTCACTTATTGACCCGCGCAGCATCCCTAGACGTCACGTGTGTTTGCACAACACGCTCGTCGGGCCTCATGCGGGTTTTTGGGGGCATTTTATAATTAAACCCTGTCGACTCCTTTTTACCTGTTAAGGAGGATCGGATTTAAATTCAATAACCCGTGCGGCATCCTTAGACGTCACGTGTGTACCAATAACACACTCGCCCATGCGAGTTTTATAATTAATTTTACCCCTTTTAATGTACCTATGTGTATACAAACTACTGTGCACGTGTGGGGGTACTTTGAAAGTACTTATAGACGCCTTATGTCCGCTTGCATAGAAGTTGCGGATCCAGTGGCATGGCGTAGTAGCTCCTAAATAAAGTTATTCGCTGCTTCGTACAAGTAGACTATCGTACACTACTCGTTGCCTTCTGCAGGTGGATCGTAGTGTACCAACTAATCTCCTACCTTTTGGTCATAGGAGCTTGCACTTGTCGTATTCTCCATGCATTTTGTTGTGGTATTTGGTCTTTAAAATACATCCACTACTGCTGGAGGTATATGTATTCATCCTTAGACTGAAGTTGACTACAAGATACTGCATTTACTGTAGTCTTTATGTATCTACACAAGGTGGCATGTTATACATACATCTGTATTTGTCGAGAGATTGTATGTATTGCATATCTTTGATTCTTGATTGCTTGTGGATCAATGTGCTTATTTGTATCTTGATGTTAACTACGAGGATGCTAGAATACCCTTGATACAAGAGTTTGCGGGTGCTTGTATCTGTTGTATGTCCGTCGTTGCATCAACTAATAGTTCTCTTCATTAGAGCTTCTAATCTTCAACATACAAGTTCATTGGTCGATTGATATGAACACCGCAGATTTCATGTTGGCTATACATAAATCAAGGGTCTTGTAATATATCTATTCTTCTCATTTATAAGTAGGTTGTTGTGTGTTCATTTATATATTAGTCTGAATTGATAACAAAGAATTCGCTTCTTCTACATCTCCCTTGCTTTGCTTATGAACAACTCCTTCACTATTGTATTCCTCCATGCTCATCTACTTTGCAAACATGTCGCTTGTGTGAGAATTATGTTGAATATCATAAGCTTCTCGTTGCCCTTGGAAGCAGTTATTAGCTTGCATTTTGATAAGGGCTTTTTCAACATTTATTTGGGAACTCCATTTTTTATTAGCACCTTGATTGGAATGCTACCACATTTGTCGTACATCTTCTACTAGCATATCAAATGTCTTCGTAGAGAAAAAAAAATGTCTTCGTAGAGAACTCCTTTGTAGAACATAAGAGGCACTTATTATCACTTGCAATTTGATGGATTGAAAACCATAAGATAATCTTATGTTCATTTCATTTGATTTTATATCAAATGGGAGTTCAAGTGCAAATTTGAGCCCACATCAGGTCCTTTGCATTTGTTCACTTGGGTTCAAGTTATGACATATTCCTTAACATTCCATTTGAAGTTTTGATATCATTTTCAAGTCAAGTTCTTCCC